TGTTACATAGAAAACTGATGTTTCTTAAAGTTTTCAATAGAAAACATGATCATTAACAATATTTTAAATAGAAAACTGATCGATATCAAGATCTGTCCATTAAAAATCTTAACTTGACATTCTGCGTTACTAATTAGTTAAACTCTGATCTTTAAGCGTCACTAATAACTTATGTTAGAGAAAAAAAACTACGTAAATGCCAAAGCAAGTGTCGGCTAAAAAAACGTGTAGAATTTAAATTAATTTTTTTTATAGTAATAAAATTTATAATTTTTTTCAATTTTCATAATATTTTTTTTAAACAAATTCCCTTCCACACATTAAAGAGTTAAAGATTCTGCTGATTTTAAACATTTCACATTTTGAAAAAGAAGAAAAAAAAAATACAACGAACTGACGCATTAACATACTGAACGACCTTCACAAGGTAGATAGATGTGTTTTTGTACTGTACAAAAGTATATTTTTAAATTATAACAAGATTTAAAATTTTTTTTATTATTGATATATTGTTGTTTTGTTTGTCTTTCGAAAAATTTTGACAAAAACTGTTATAAAATGTAAACTGGTATTTTGGAAATGCGTGAAGATGTTTTTGGGGATGTGATCAAAAAACTAAAAAAAGTAAAGAAAAACCAGTTAACCAGTAAAGATCAGTTTTAAGCCGCTTAAAATTATTTAGGCGTTATTTAATTCAAATTATATAAGAGCGGCTGCAAATTGAAAAGCAATCAAGTAAAAAATATTTCAAGGTCTTAAATTCACTGCATTTTTTAACTGTAAAAAAAGTCGATAACTTGAAATATTTTAAGTAATTAACTGATTTTGGAATTTATTTTTGAAATTACAATTAACATTAACTTTTTTATATAAAAGCTGTTCCAAATGTCCATTATATTTTCAACAGCTTAACTAATTTGTAGTTAAAGTTGTAGTTAATTTTCACTAAGTACCTAATAACTTTAAAGTATAAAAACAATTTTTGCCTTAATTCAAAATTTCAATTAACTGCCCCCGTATTTTAATGACTTCACATCATCATGATATTTGCATCTTTTTTTCTATAAAACATTTTAAATGTTGTATAGAGTTGTTAAAATAAGTATCAAAATTTGTTTTATTAAAAACAATACTTCTTAAATTAAGGTCGTACGTTTTTATATTACTGCATTATGAATTTATTTTTATGATTTTTGCTAATATATTTTTTTGTCATTGAAAGCTTTTTCTCCAAGATGATGAACAAATGTATAATTTAATACTTGTTCAAAAAAAAAAAAAGATGATGACTTCTATTATTTCTGTTAATATCTTAATTATAATGTTAAAAAAGCTGTATTATGTTGAGGGTGAAGGATCATTAACATTAATTTCGGTTTAAAGCGAATTTTTTCAAGTTTATAAGTGATTAAACTTTTTCTATAGAAATTTTAATAAAGATCAATAACTTGGTGTTGGAAATTATAGCAACTATCCATTGTGTACAGAAAGTTATGTTAACGATCAATTGTCTAGTGAAAAATTTGTGAGCAATCTGTTTTCTAGTTAAACATTTTTGTCAATGTTGTATAAAATCAACATTGACAAAAATTTGTATAGAAAATTTAATAAACGATCAGTTTTCTATATGAAACTTAATAAACGATCACTTTTCTACAGAAAACTTTATAAACGATCAGTTTTCTATAGGAAACTTAATCAAAGATCAGTTTGCTATAGAAAACTTAATAAACGATCAGTTTTCTATAGAAAACTTAATAAACGATCAGTTTTCTATAGAAAACTTAATAAACGATCAGTTTTCTATAGAAAACTTAATAAACGATCAGCTTTCTATAGAAAACTTAATAAACGATCAGTTTTCAATAGAAAACTAAATAAAAGATCAGTTTTCTATAGAAAACTTAATAAACGATCTGCATTTTATAGAAAAATGAATAAACGATAAGTTTTCTATAGAAAACTTAATAAACGATCAGTTTTCTATAGAGAACTAAATAAACGATCAGTTTTCTATAGAAAACTTAATAAACGATCTGTTTTTTTATAGAAAAATGAATAAACGATAAGTTTTCTATAGAAAACTTAATAAACGATCAGTTTTCTATAGAGAACTTAATAAACGATCAGTTTTCTATAGAAAACTTAATAAACAATCAGTTTTCTATAGAAAACTTTATAAATGATCAGTTTTCTATAGAAGACTTAATAAACAATCAGTTTTCTATAGAAAACTTTATAAACGATCAGTTTTCTATAGAAAACTTAATAAACGATCAGTCTTTCTTAGAAAACTCTATAAACGAACCTTTTTTTTTCAAGAAAACCGTATAAACAATCAGTTTAAGTAGTAAACTTTATAAACGAGAAGTTTTTTTAAAGAAGACTTAATGAACGATTAGTGTTTTATAGAAAACTTTATAAAAGATCAGTTTTCCAAAGAAAAATTTCTATAGACTTTATAAACGATAAGTATTTACTGAAAACTTTATAAACGATCTATATAAAACTTTATAAAAGTTCAGTTTTCTATAAAAAATTTAAAAGCTTTATACACGATCAATTTTATATAGAAAACATTATCGGAGATCAGTCTTCTATTAAAATCTTTATCGACGATAACATTTCTGTATAAATCTTTATCAGCGATCAGCTTTCTATATAGAAAACTTTATCAGCGATCAGTTTTCTATAGAAAACTTTATCAGCGCTCAGTTTTCTATTGAAAATTTTATCAGCGATCAGTTTTCTTTAGAAAACTTTATCAGCGATCAGTTTTCTATTGAAAACTTTATCAGCGATCAGTTTTCTATAGAAAACTTTATCAGCGATCAGTTTTCTATAGAAAACTTTATCAGCGATCAGCTTTCTATACAAAACTTTATCAGCGATAAATTTTCTATAGATAACTTTATCAATGATCAGTGTTCTATAGATAACTTTATCAATGATCAGCTTTTTATAAAAAACTTTAACAACGATAAGGGTGAATCTTATCATCGATAAATTTTCTATAGAAAATCTTATCAAACGATAAATTTTCTATAGAAAATCTTATCATCGATGAATTTTCTATAGAAAATCTTATCATCGATCAATTTTCTATAGAAAATCTTATCATCGATCAATTTTCTATAGAAAATCTTATCATCGATCAATTTTCTATAGAAAATCTTATCATCGATCAATTTTCTATAGAAAATCTTATCATCGATCAATTTTCTATAGAAAATCTTATCATCGATCAATTTTCTATAGAAAATCTTATCATCGATCAATTTTCTATAGAAAATCTTATCATCGATCAATTTTCTATAGAAAATCTTATCATCGATCAATTTTCTATAGAAAATCTTATCATCGATCAATTTTCTATAGAAAATCTTATCATCGATCAATTATCTATAGAAAAACTTATCAAACGATCAATTTTATATAGAAAATCTTATCAAATGATTAATTTTCTATAAAAATCTTAACAAACGATCAATTTTCTATAGAAAATCTTTAGATCGATCTATTTTCCTTAGCAAATCTTTAGATCGATCAGTATTCTATACAAAATCTTATCATCGATCACTTTTCTCTAGAAAATCTTATCATTCGAACAAGTTTCTATAAAAAACTTTAACAACGATCAATTTTCTCTAGAAAACTTTAACAACGATCAATTTTCTATAGAAAATCTTATCATCGATCAATTTTCTATAGAAAATCTTATCAAACGATTAATCTTCTACATAAAATCTTATCAAACGATCAATTTTCTACATAAAGTCTTATCAAACAATCAATTTTCTACAGAAAATCTTATCATCGATAAATTTTCTATAGAAAATCTTATCAAACGATCAATTTTGTATAGAAAATCTAATCATACGAACAATTTTCTATAAAAAAAACTTTAACAACGATAAATTTTCTATAGAAAATCTTATCATCGATCTATTTTGTATAGAAAATCTTATTGTCGATCTATTTTCTATAAAAAATCTTATCATCCATCAGTTTTTTTTCTAGAACATCTTATCATCGATCAATTTTCCATAGAAAATCTTATCATCGATCAAATTTCTATAGAAAATCGATTCAACGATCTATATTCTCTAGAAAATCTCATCATACATAAGTTGTCATTAGAATATTTAATTAAAATATGTATATTTAACGATAACTGCCTTTGAGTCAAAGTTATCGATAACTATAAAATGTTTTTCATAAAAAGCGGGAAAATTAAATAAAAAGAAATGCAAATGATTTTAAAAAAAAGCCTAATGCAATCCTAAGGAATCATTAGAGATTACGTGACTTTAATACAAATTAAATCATAATGCAGTCATGTTTCAGTGTCACGTATCTAAGAACAGCTGGTGTTTATTACAGAAAACACAAATGTTACATAAAAAAAACTGGAGTTTTTTTGTAACACTGCAGTTTTTGTTATTTTGTTACATAAATAAAAATCTGTGTCAAACTAAAATTTAATTGTGCACTTTTTTATTAACAACTTTGTCGCTACTTTTTTTCTATTTAATTTTGTTGCCGCATTTTTTTTTCCACCAGTTATAATTTTTTTGTTTTTAACATAATTTGCTACATTTTTGCCACCTTAATTATTTCTTGTATTTGTAGAAAAAAAAAACGCATAATTTCAAATGAAAAAATATTTGCGGGTTTGTTTTTGTTTTTGCTGCTGCGAATTTGTCGTCAACATTCCTTAAAACTTCATTTGTATACAAAAATAATTTCTAGTTCATAAAACTACAATTTTTGCTGTTAGTTACTGAAAAAATTTTTTTAATTAAAATGCATTTTATTGTTGTTTAGTAAACTTTTGTTTTAAAAACTATTTGAATGAAAAACGGTCTCGGCAACAGAAACAAATAAAACTCTAAACAACAAAAGACTACAAATAAAAGTAATGAAAAACAAAATCAAATGTTTGATTTGATTTTTTTTTTTTTTTTTTCAGTTTCTATTTTTGTTTATTTTCCACTTACCGGAAGCATTTTGGTGCTTTTTTTCTACTGCAGTAGATAATTTATGGGTAAAACGTCGACCGACGACTATGACGACGACCACAGTTGTAATGTTGTGTTGACGGCTACAAAAACCGCGTAAATGTTGTTGTTGTTGTTTTGTTCAATGCAATTTAATTTGAAACTATTTTTTTGTGTTTTTTAGTTATTTTTGGTCTAGTTGCTTGTTGCTATTGATTGTTATTTTTAATATCAATCTATTTTTTTTTTCTCTCTCTTTTATTAATTTCGCTTGATTAAAACTGTAAAATATTACAAAAAATATATTTATGATTATTTTTGTACAAAAGTAGAAAAAACTGCATCAATAACTAAATAAATATAAATAATTTTAAACAATATGTATATTGGCCAGCATCATCATCAGAGTTTGTTGGTTTTTATCTCGTTGTGGTCATTTTTGTTTGAAAAAAAAAAAAAACACCGATTGTTATGAACCCAAAGAGAGTGATTGATTTTTTGATGGTTAGTGAGTTGGTTTTTATCTGATGTATAATAGTTGTTAACAACAACAACAAAAAATATTTAAAATAATTATTGTTAAATAAATCATTGTTTAATTTGAAAGTGGAAAATGAAATATAGGCCGTAGGCGTAGAGAAACAGTGGGATTTGGGAGAAAATAATTTGAATAATTTTCTTTAAAAAGGAGAATTTTCTTGAAAATTTTCTATAAAAAGAGAATTTTTTGGAAAAATTTCTATAAAAATGGAATTTTCCCAAAAATTTCTATATAGAAAACTTATTGTGCGATCAATTTTCTATTGAAAATTTTATCAAACGATCAATATTCTATAGAAAATCGTATTCATTTTTTATAGCAAATCTTATCAAAAGATCACGTTTCTATACAAAAACTTATTAAACGATAAAATTTCTATAAAAAATCTTATCAAACGAAAAATCATATCAAACGATCAATTTTCTATAGTAAATCTTATCATCAATAAATTTTCTATAGAAAATCTTACTAAACGAAAAATTTTCTATAGAAAATCTTATCATCGATCAATTCTCTGTAAAAATTCTTATCAAACGAGAAATTTTCTATAAAAAATTATATCAAACGATAAACTTTCTATAGAAAATCTTATCATATGATAAATTTTCTATGGAAAATCTTACTATCGATCAATTTTTATAAAAAATCTTATTATCGATAAGTTTTTTATAGAAGCAATAAATTTTCTTTAGAAAATCTTATCAAACGAAAAGGTCTCTATAGAAAATCTTATCAAACAATCTACAGTCTACAGAAAATTTTATCAAACAATCAATTTTCTGTAGAAAATCTTATAATCGATCAATTGTCTATAGAAAATCTTATCAAACAATCAATTGTCTATAGAAAAGCTTATCAAACGATCAATTTTCTATAAAAAATCTTATCAATTTTCTATAAAAAATCTTATCAATTTTCTATAGAAAATCTTATCAGCGATCAATTTTCTATAGAAAATCTTATCAGCGATTAATTTTCTATAGAAAATCTTATCAGCGATAAATTCTATTAAACGATCCATTTTCTATAGAAAATCTTATCAAACGATCAATTTTCTTTAGAAATGATCTATTTTCTGTAGAAAATCTTATCAAACGAAAAATTTTTTATAGAAAATCTTATCATCCATCAATTTTCTATAACAAATCTTTTCAATCGATCAATTTTCTATAGAAAATCTTATCATCGATCAATTTTCTTTAGAAATGATCAATTTTCTATAGAAAATCTTATCAAACGATAAATTTTCTTTAGAAATGATCAATTTTCTGTAGAAAATCTTATCAAACGAAAAATTTTCTGTAGAAAATCTTATCAAACGAAAAATTTTCTATAGAAAATCTTATCATCGATCAATTTTCTATAGAAAATCTTATCATCGATCAATTTTCTATAGAAAATCTTATCATCGATCAATTTTCTATAGAAAATCTTATCATCGATCAATTTTCTATAGAAAATCTTATCATCGATCAATTTTTTATAGAAAATCTTATCATCGATCAATTTTCTATAGAAAATCTTATCATCGATCAATTTTCTATAGAAAATCTTATCATCGATCAATTTTCTATAGAAAATCTTATCATCGATCAATTTTCTATAGAAAATCTTATCATCGATCAATTTTCTATAGAAAATCTTATGAAATGACAAATTTTCTATAGAAAATCTCATCAAACGATAAATTTTCTATAGAAAAAACGATTAATTTTCTATATAAAATCTTATCAAAATATCAATTTTCTATAGAAAATCTTATCAACCGATCAGTTTTCCATAAAAAATCTTATTAAACGATAAATTTTCTATAAAAAATCTTATCATCGATCAATTTTCTATAGAAAATCTTATCATCGATCAATTTTCTATAGAAAATTTTATCATCGATCAATTTGCTATAGAAAATTTTATCATCGATCAATTTGCTATAGAAAATCTTATCATCGATCAATTTTTTATATAAAATCTTATAAAACGATCAATTTTCTATACAAAATATTATCAAGTTTCTATAGGAAATCTTATCATCGATAAATTTTCATAAAAAATCTTATCATCGATCAATTTTCTATAGAAAATCTTATGATCGATCATCTTATCAATTTTCTTTAAAGAGAATCTTCTTTAATTGAAAATTTGTTAAAACTTCCCTAAAAAGAATGATTTTATAACAAAATTTTCAGTAGAAATTTAATTTTTTTGGGAATTTTTTAAAGAAAGAAAAATTTTCGATTGATTTAACTATAATCTTAAGCCGTTCGGCACGATCATGCAATTGTCATGAGAACATTGTAAATTCTTAAAAATGAACAGTGTCTTTCAGAATTCCTCTCAATACGGCTGTGGTTCAAGATCATTCTTTTAGAATTATTTATATTTTGGGGATGATAACCGAATCCAGTTGTTATAGATCGCATAAAGGGAACTTTTCACTTTAAAATGACGTTGTTATAGAAAGAAATCAATTCACATTTGAAGAAAGTGTTAAAACGTGATAAGATTGTAATTATCTCTGTCGGAACTAATTCTTTGCAATTTAAAGGGAAAATCAATCACTCCTATCACCGTTAGAAGTGAAATTTTCGTTCCTTTCGTAGAGAAAATTGCTATTGTGAACTTGTTGTTGTGGAACAATTCATTCACAACAGCTGTTCATTGTTTATAAAATTTGTTCTCGTCGAAAATATTTGCAAAACGAAAAAAAATGAAAAGGAAACATATTTCACGTGAAAATTTGATTGGTGTTAGGTGTGTATACTTTCTAGAATTATTCTTGAACAGATTTTTTGAACAAACGTTTTCATAACTAAGTTTTTGCTTCTCTAAGGAATTAGGAAAAAGTTTTGTCATTGTTGCTTTGGGAACCGATGAACCGATATCGGTTTTATGTGATATGTAGATAGAAACTAACCTATAAAAAAAACTTGTTCTTGATTTGTATATAAAAATAAAGATAATAATAATGGTTCAAAAGAAATTAAGAACTTTTAAGATTACATTAGGTAGGTGGTGATAAAGGGAACTCGCGATTAAGCGAGAATTCATGGAGACCAATTAGTCCATTGTGGAAACTTTTGTGGGAAAACAAAATTACTGTATTATTCTTAATGTTATAAGTTATAATTCTTATTATAAACCATCATTTGTTTATGAATATGGGAATGAAGTTTTGGCAAATTTAAGTGACATTTCGAAAGAAATTATTACAGATTCTGGGGGAAATCTGATTACTATTTTCCTGGAACTATAAATTGCTTTCTAACTTTTACTCTATAATTATAAAATACAATTTAATGCCTAACATTGCATTTCATTTACAAATAATGACAATAAAATTACAATTCCTCTGGATTTAACACAATCATGATGTTGCAAATCGAAACTCAAATTTATTTAAAATATTTCTTTAACGAATTTTATTTAACTACAGCTTGCCATTTTTATTACTTTCAAAAAAAAAGTTAACTTTTTCGATTGTATAACAGCCAAAGTTAGAGTTGCATTTTAGCAACTAGTTTCACAACCACCAAAAGAAAAAATCACTCTTTTTGAATATTTATTTTCGGAAAAAAAAATAATTGCAAAAAAAAATTTGTTTGTTTTATGTTAAATATAACAGTTATTATTTATAATTTGAGATTTTGGCAAGACAAAAAAAATTGCATTATTAAAAAAAGTGATTAATGTTTCTTTTTTTTCAACTTTTGTACAAAAATATTAATAATTTTTAAACCAAAAAATGTATTTTTATTTTATTTAAAATAAATGCGTTTACGCAATTTTTATTTCTAAGTGTTTTTTTTTTTTTCTGTAATTTGTTTTACACTGGTTTTTCGACCAGGTTTATCAGCAAACAAATTCAAAAGAAAATGAAATTGTTTCGTTTTTTCGCTTAGCAGCCAGAAAATCAGCTTTTAAAAAACCACTTTTGCTTTTTTTCTTAGCTCACAGTTTTCAAATGAAAATAACAGTGTTTTTGTAATCATCATTATCTTAAGCTGTAGAGAGATGATTTTTTTTTAAAGCGCATGCGCAACCAGCCGCTTATAACAGTTTAATAGTGCAAAACAAATTGGGTGTTTTTTTATTACAATTTATAATAGTTGTAGTTTATTTTTAACACGCAGTTTATTTTTATTTAAAAAAAATTTTATAATACACTTGTTTTTCCAAAAAATTTTATAAATTAGTTTTTTTTTTCTTTTAAAGTTGTTTAGCCTTATTTGTATTTTTTTTTTTTGTTATAATTAATTACCAAATTTTTTAACTATTTTTATTTAAATTCTTTTTTATAAGCAGTTTAATTTTTTACGCGTTTTATTTGAAAAAAGAAAATCACTCGTTTTCAATTTAACCGTTTTTTTTTTTTCTTCGGTTACTTATTGTTCTTGGTTTTTTTAACCGCTTAACCAACAATACCGTTCAAGAGCCGCCGTTGCACTGATTTCATATGTTACCAACTCAAAGACTTGAAGCCACTTGGCTAAAAACAGAGTTGAATTGAAATGAGTTGAGTACCAACCAGTGTGTTTGGTTGTTGCTGGCGTTGGTGATGGTGGTGGCGTTGTTAATGGTATTGGTGATGGTCTATGCGCAGCCGCTATAAACCCTCCACAGGTGGTTTGTATCGACAAGTGTGTTGTGTTTTTGTATTGTTCGGTATGTGTGTTACCAGTTCCACTAGTTTTTCAACTGTTAAACGACTCTATACACACGCACTCACTGCTAAAGAAACCCTCAAGAAAAGAGAGTAAAAAATCCAGCAAAACTTTAACTCTTCTGTTAGATGAAAGGTATAGTTGCCAGATTTGCCGATTAAGGGCCATATTTTTCAATATATTCCTAACCTTCTTTACATTGGTGGGTCCCTATATTTTCTCACCGAGTCACTTTTTCACAGAAATGAAAAAGTGAGTTCTCGTAAGACAATCTAAAAGATTACACCTAGGCCGTTATCTGTTCTCTTTTTGTGGAAAAACCTTTTATAGCGATCTATTAAAAGAATAATCGTTTAGAAGCTCAAGTTCCTGGACGTAGTATCTTAGAATTTTGAAATCAATGTTCTCGAATGGTGTAATATCCGAAATAACATCGCTCCCAAAATATTTGGATCTACTTTCGAGGAAGACTAGCAATGACAAAGAGAGTGTTCCAACATTTCACTTTCCTCTCCGCATGTAGTACATTGGTTTGAGTCCATTCATCCTAGTTTATATAGCTGTGCCCGTAAACCTGTGTGACCTCTAAGAATACGTAACATCATGTTAACCTCATTCTGTGAGACTTCTTATCATACTCTCGTTCGCCCATCTTTTCAATTGGGTCTTCGTTGCTTCCAACGGTTTTGCATTTATTAGTTTAACTTCCTCAAGCTGCCGTCCCTTTATTAAGTTAGGTTGATAGGAGGATGTATCAAATCCGAAGAAATACACTTAGGTCACCATCGGGCCTGTTGTGCGCTCCTTTTCATGGAAAATGTTTGTAGGAGAAAAAAACCTTATATAGTATTCACAAAATGTATATCGTTCGATGTTCAGAAACTCAGTTTCCTGAACGTAATTCATAATAATTTTCCAATCAGTGTTCCTGAGGGATATTATATCCAGAATAATATCACTTCTAAGATATTTGGATCTAATTTCGACGAAAGTGGCAAAGAAAGTGCTCCAGAGTTTTACTGTCCACTCTACATGCTCTACATTCTTAGAGCATTCAGTTATTGCTCGGACTTCTGCCTGGATGCTAGTGTTGTGATTAGGTAAACGGTGATATACTTCTGTTTCTGGGTCTTCAATATAAAAACCCAAGCCAACTTTGTCTCCCAATTTAGAGACATACGTATAGCAACGGATTTCTACTGGTATTTGCTCTAAAGTTCCGCTTGACCAAGACATTCTATATGGGATCAGTGTTTCAAAGTTTCCGACATATTTTGTCTCTGGTATGCGATCCGATGATTGTGTATAGCCTTACAATGTGTCCAGTATACATTGCCTAAAGTTATGAGCCGAATCGTATCTCATCCCTTTATTTACATTCTGATAGTCATATGTTGCAGAGCTTAACACAGGAATGGTTGGTCTCTTAGAAGACAATACGTTTTTGAATTGACTTTAACAGATGATATCGCCCTAATTACCGTTTGGCAGTCGAAAAATATGTTAACCTTTGTTGGCCTAAATAGAATCCAATCAATTTCACACGTTTAGAGCCATCCGTGTAACAACATATTCGCAGGTGTTTTCGCTAATGATCGGCTTTTCACGATTTTCTAAATATGACCAATATCGGTCATTCTGGTGTATCTGTATAACCAACCAACCAATTTACATAGAGGTGTTCACCTAAAAGTATGAGCCGTTCAGCTGTGTCATCTCATATCTTACATGACCACAATATTTCTAAAGTTTTGATTTTCTTATTGCACATGGTCCGGTTTTAACCTAAGCAACATGTATGTATGCTGATCTCCCTATACATTGTATTATGTTACATTTTCTGTCCAAAACAATCTACCAGATTATAGAAGCGTAAATTCAAATTGATGTAATAACGATCCTATAAAACCAGTGTGTCTTAGTTGGATTATGATTACATTTCGAGCCTTTGGTTCTCCTAAACATTGCCCAACCTTAAAATGTTTTACTATTTCTATCCTTTAAGTGTTGTTTAGTATCCGATCAAGGATTATGCTTTGAAATATAACACTATCGATCACTGAAATCACCCGTCATTCCTTGAAAATACAGATTTCGGTTTTAGTTGGGTTGACATTAACCCTTATTGGTAAACCTTCGCGGAAAGTCGTATTTAGGACATCCACGGTATCTCCGCATATTGATCTTTGTGTCAGTATAAACTTTTCTTTTTTAATATCGCAATAGATATTTAGAGTGAGACCAGAATCGATCGATCAAGGATTACGCCTTAGAATTAATCGAAGAGCTGAGCTTCAGTATAGGATGCAATTTTCTTTTTCCTTGAAAACATAGATTCCAGTTTTAGTTTTGTTGATATTCAGCCAATTGGTAAAGTCCAGCCTTGGATATGAGAAGAGATCTTTTATGACCCACGACTCAATTGTCTGGTAGAAAACAGCGGCACAAATCGGTACTAGTTACAGACACCAAACTTAAAGAATATTTGGAAATATCTCTGTTAAGATGGACAAAAAGATCACAAGGAAAGACAGACCAGCTTTGTACTATATCAGCTTACGATTTTCATACGAACCCCAAATTGGAAATTTTCACTTATAAACTAAACCTTTGGTTTCCTCTCAGATTGACCGACAACTGTATAAATTTTCAGACGTAATTTTGGATTATCGAGATTTCATTGTAAGACTTATAAGATATTATAAGAGTTAATATAAACTCCTGGATATTGCAAATTGCGCCAGTACGATCATGATCTTTGAAATTAGACGCTACACTCAACAGAGATGAAATGGTTCGTGCCACAAGAAAGTTTTAGTTGGCAACAGTGTTTTTGCAAGATCAATACAAATTTATTAAGAAGAAGAAGAATACTTTGGAGTCCTCGGACATAGTATCAATACATTTCCTATATACTTTGCTTTCTAAATGTTAAATCAGAAGTATCTGATTAAATATCAGATACAGAAATTGATAGACATTGATCTCAGAACGATTGTCGTGTCAAGTGCAACATTAAAGCAAACATCAGTGGGAATCTGTTATTACATGGACGACTCTAAGCTGGCAAATACATATGGCCTGAGAAATAAATACATACAAACCCAGAATCCGAACGTTATCAGCCGTTAAGGCCAGGTTGAAGATCTTATTAGACTGCAAGAGACTTTTCTTTCAGAAGATAGAAAGAAAAGTGAACTCGAGGAAGTTTGCTTGACCACGATAACATGTAATAATGGAGAGTAGGACCACAAATGAGAAAAATATAAGAGGCCTTTTTCGTAAGAGTAAGTTCGGCCACAAAATAGATGAGAGGTATCTAATGAATGTAGAGAGGATAGAGAAACTCTCGAAAACTTTCTTAGTCATAGCTAGGCTTTTGTCGGATTTAGATCCAATTGCCTTGGGAGTTATATTCGTCAGGAATATTTTTTTTAAACATTGGACGATAATTCCTTTACTTTCACCAAATTCTCTATGTGAATGAGTGCATAACAGGTTCTTTTCTGAACCATATTGGTCGGTGTCTAATGAATGTAGAGAGGATAGAGAAACTCTCGAAAACTTTCTCAGTCATAGCAAGGCTTTTGTCGGATTTAGGTCCAATTGCCTTGGGAGTTATACTATATTCGTCAGTAATATCTTTTGAAACATTAGACGATAATTCCCTCTCATTCGCCAAATTCTCCTTATCAAAGTGTTCAGAACAGGCTCTTTCCTGAAACATATTGAAAAAACTAGGCGATTTCTTCATTCAACTATATCTGGCAACTCTACCCCACATAATGATGATTGCTGTTGTATTGGAGTCGCTATTTTGTAGAAGATGTTTACTATTATGTGGTAACGAAGAAGGTAAAAGCCGGTTGTCGTCAGTCTGTATGTCTGTCCCTCTGCCCGTGTTTGGTGGTTTGTGTGGTGCCTTAAGTGTTGGCCAATTTTTTTCATTTAATAAAAAAAGGTAACATCAACTCTTTTGTTGTTTATTTTTGTGTGTATTTATGGTAATTGTTGTTGGTGTTTTATAGTGAGTTGGCCACACTAATAAATAAATAACGAATATGAACAAACAAACAATCCAACCAACTTAACGATTGCCTAATAATGATAGTTGATTGTTGCTGCTCAACTCTCAGTCTAAGGAATTTTTATGATAATTTATTAGCATGTTTAATAACAGTGTAATTTTTAACATTATGTTAACAACATAATGCTAAATTACATATATTTTTCATTTTAACATTTTTTACAAATTCATGATTAAATAAGAGTGTGTCTTTTCTTGTGTATTTCGAGGTGTGTTTGCATGTGTATGTGTGTTTAGTTTAGTGTTCTAATTTCTTTCCCTCTCGTCTATTATAAAAGCATAATTCAATGTCAGTCATACGTCATGGTGTGCAGTAATAAGACATGTTTGTCTGTCCTTCTGTCTTTGTATATTTGCGAATACTAGTGCCAACCAGCAGTATGTGAATTTTGCTGCTACAAGCCAAACATATTCAACAATCTGAAGACAATCTGCATAAATTTTGATTTGGAATTTATGTTTAAATGAACAACAAAATTCACAAAAAAGACATTCTAATAGGTTTTGCATTTGAAATATATTTTTATTTAAATACTTTTTGGCATAAATATTATTGTTATGTATGAGAAAATATTTAGTTTTTTTGCAAGATTTTTCACTACTGATCTGTTTTGTGTTATACACTCGAAAATTTGAATAAAGTTTAGTTTAGTTATAGAAAACTTCAAGTACAACAAGTAGAAGTGGGCGTAGTCACGAAATTATTTTGAATGATTTATTTCTATTTTGAGGAGCAATCGCAATTCTAC